TGGCCAAGCCATGGTTGACGGTCAGGAAGATTTTGCTGTGTATTTGGTGGGATTGGCAGGGAATTATCTACTATGAGCTGCTCCCCTACGGCCAAACTCTTAATTCGGACCTGTACTGTCAACAATTGGACCGTCTGAAGGAAGCAATCGCCCAGAAGCGGCCAGCTTTGGCCAATAAGAGAGGAATTGTGTTCCATCAAGATAACGCCAGGCCACACTCATCGATAGTGACTCGCCAGAAGCTCCGGGAGCTTGGTTGGGAGGTTCTTTTGCATCCACCTTATAGTCCGGACCTGGCACCAAGTGATTACCACCTGTTCTTGTCTATGGCGAATTTTTTTGCTGGTGAAAAATTCGCCTCAAGAAGCTTCTGAAAATCGACTTTCCCAGTTTTTTGCCAATAGGGACGAGGGTTTCTATGAGAAAGGCATAATGAAATTACCTTCGAAATGGCAACAAGTTATCGAACAAAACAATATTTGACCTAAATCGGATCATTGTAACTATGTTAAATAAATCCTTCAATTTGATACAAAAATAATGGATTACTTTTTACTAGACCTTATATAACATATATGTAAATTTCGTATTTTTCTTTCAAGGTTGTAATAAAAGGGAATCACGACACGAGAGAAAACGTTAGAGTTTTTTAAATTTGTTAGTTCTTGCGTAAGGAAGAGATTGAGGTAAAGAGAAGTAAATACCATTTAAATGTGAGGAGATTACAATTTTATTTAAAAAGTCATGTTGTAGCATTTATAATAATGGTTCTAACAATGTTGCTAAAATGAGTATAAGTTAGTTCATGAAATACAATTTCAAAGTAGTTGTCCAAAAATTCTAAATTTCTTATTTGTCGACGCACATTTTGCGCAATTCCTGATGATTATTGAGAAGCGTTTGTTTCACGACGTCCTCGTCGATTATACGTTTGAGCAGATTTAATTCTATTTCCGTGATCAGAAATCGAGCGTATTCGCTGACGAGTTTTCCAAGCGAAATTAATTGCTGGTATCGGACGTTTACACATTTCACAACATTTTCGAGACCGTCGAAAGATGCGTTACAATAAATGGGATGTAGGTTTCGTGCTTCTTTGCAAGCGGCGGTGCAGAGGAATTGTTTAAAGGGTAAAATGTGCCTTGCTATACATTTTGCTTGTGTTCGTTGTGGAACGAAAATTTAGTTTAAAGAAGAGAGAGTAGAACATTTATTGTTTAGCAAGGTATCAGCTATGGTGCATCGTTGTGATTGCCCGCTCGCAGCACGCGTGGGTTCCGAATTTTGGTCAATCAACCGCATGATAGCGTGATAGCTATGGTGCATCGTTGTAATTGCCCGCTCGCAGCGCGCGTTTCGAATTTTAGCCAGTCAATCGCATGTCAGCTATGATGTGAAAAGGAAGTGGCTTGCAAGGAAAACGTAGACGTTGTCAGGTAAGTAACTACGACAACGTTTCTCTAATTCCTACCTCGTAAAAATTTTTATATATCGGCTGAAAAGATCTTTGAACATATTTTCAGGTAACGTACATGAGAGTGAGGAAACGCTCGCGTTGTCAATGTAAAATTATCTACTACCGCGTGTACCTCGGAAGGTTTCAGCAAGCAATTATGTATGAGATTTTTTAATCTGATCGTAAATTTTTTATATATCGACTTCGTGAGCGAGTCAAAGTCTGAGTAATATTTTAAGTAGTGCACTTTCTCCGACAAATTTCAATAAACGATTATGCTCAAATTTTTTTCTAATCTCCAGACCATAAAT